TGTGTGGAATGATGGAATAACAACAATGAGGATGGGAGTGAGCACAGGCAGCGAGGCAGGTCCTTATCTCGATAGGGTAGAGCTGGAATGCCAAAAGTAGCATCGTCGTTACTTACTCATTGCCTTAATTAACACAGTGCAGAGCTCACTGTGTGTCCAGGATTTGCAGGAGAGGCTTGGTGCACATTCCAGCTGGGAATGGGTGTGTCAGCCTGTGGCTTTCCAGAGGTTTCCAGAGGTTTTGTACCTAGTGCTTCCCTCACCTGAGCCTCGCCACTCACCTGGAGCCCCAGCAGGTGTGCAGACCATCAGCCTGAAGAGCCTTTCTCCCTCCATGAGCAGCTTTCCATGGGCAATCCTGCCTGCCCAGCAACGGGAGCAAATAAAAGGTCACCCAAGAAATATCACAGAGCCTTTTTTTATGACAGCACAGCTGCCCATTTATATTTCCTTTGCCCCCCGGGCGTGGCTCCGTGTCTCGCTTTAATCGGTTTAGCCGCGCTCGGGGAGGTCTTTATTTTCTTTCCCTCTGACATGATTAGGTTTGTGGGAGCCAGAGCCGAGCAGAGCACAGACAAGGTGCTTAATCAAAGCCACTTCCCAGCCCAGAGGTTCCTCCTGCCCTTTTTGCCAGGAAAAGGTGTGTTCTGGAGCCCTCCTCAGGTCCTGGTGTGTGATTCCTGTCACCTGGAGGAGCTGGAATGTTTTTGGCTGCAGATGCCACAAGCCAAGTGGGAGATGTCCATTAGGAAATAGTTTGAATTGCTTGGGTGGTGGGCACAGTGATGAGGAGCACAAGGCAGGGGGGCTTTGGAGCTCTCTGGGAAATCTCCTGCCCCTCAAAACCTCCTGGGGATCCACCCAGGAGAGACCAAGCAGTGGGAAAGGGGGTGGATTTCCTTCTGGATGTTGATTCCATACTGTCACATCCCATTGGGGTGTGGGAGTGTTTCGGGTCACCCCAGTGACACTGTCCCCAAAAACAGGACAGGGGATGGGCCTGGAGCTGCTGAGCTTTGGAGAGCCACACTGGGGGTGCTGTCAGTGCCAGTCTGTGCACTGGATCCAGGCACTGAGGTTTAAAACATGAAAGTATTCCTTAGTGAAAGCAGCACTTCCTTTCCTTTTAAGGACAGGAAAGAGGAATTAGGTTTCCTCAGCCTCCATCTCGTGTCAGCAGAGGGAAGTGGCTGCACTGCTCTCTGCTGTGGCCATCTGAGTTGATTTTCCAATGAAAACACACTCACTTTGATGTTTGTCATGTTTTCCTTTGTGTGGAGAGTGTGTCCTTCTGCTGTGTCCCTGGTGTTTGTGGAGGGTTTATTCCCTGACTCTGGAAATAGGTTCAGGCTGGTGGGGTTTGTCACCTCACAGGCAGCAAGGACAGCAGTGACACCAAGGATTGGAGTGTCCCAGCCCCGTGAAACAGGTCAGTTCCAGGCAGGAAGAGCTTGGGAATTCCCTGAAGTGCAGCTGGGTTGTTGCTGGATAGGGTGTGAGGGGGGAAAAGGAGCTTTTCCAGAGGAGCAGCTGCCAGTTTGGCAATCCCTGCCAGCACTTCACCACAAAAGGATGTTCCTGGGACAACCACATGTGGAATTCAGCTGTAGGTGTTGTGTGGGGCACAGTAACTGAGCTCTGCCATCTGGAGATCCTCCTCCCTCCCCGGCCCCTAACGAGATTACAGCCTAAGCACTGCTCCTGATTAGCCCCAGGTTTGGCACACGGATTTTCCAGCACCTAAATAGGGAGCTGGGATCAACTCTTTCTCATCTGACACCTTCCAGCCTCTCACCAGGCTGAGGGAACCGAGTTGTCCCGCCTTGTGCTTCCTCCCTCACCTTGCAGAACCAAAGCCCTCAGATCTGGGAATACAGCAGGATCACCCACGGATCCAGGGGATGGAGGGGCAGATGCCGAGTACCAGTTTGTTACTGGCTGTGTGTGGTGTTTTCCAGAGGCTGGAAGCAGTCAGTTTGAGTGGGTCTCACCCTGAACAAGCCCAGTTGGTGTATTTAGGTGCTTCCAAAACCCAGTTTTCGAGATCACTCAGGTTATGGGTGTTGTTTTCTGGGCAGTGGTTTGTGCCTTTCCCTCCAACTCAAGGAGCTGTCTGGTAATGGGAAAGGAGGGATTGGAGTGCCAGGCAATGGCCATGATGATGGTGATGCCTTTCCCAGAAGAAGGGCAGAGTGTCTTCCTTAGCCAGAAAAGAGACCATTGTGATCCCACGGGGAATTGGAAGATGTTTCACCAACGTGCCCTTCTCCACCTGCTTCATCTCTCAAAGCACTTTGGAATGGAAAGAGGATCTGGGAGGAAAAAAGGGAGGAAAAGAGCGCTGAGTGCAGCTGGGAAGGCTGGAAGGCTGTTGGATGGGAGCTGGGCTGGCAGCTCCCCCTTCCTGGGGGTGAAGCTGCTTCAGCCCCCTCGGCTCCATGGGTTGGGTCAGCTGCAGTAGCTGGGGTTTTGGATGGTGGTCATTGTCCTTAATTTCAGTGTCTGAGGGGCTGCAGCTGCCCTGGATAAAGAAGATATTTGCTTCCTAACTAGATTTAAAATAGAAAATACGTATTGTTATTGCTTCTGAGTGAGTTGGTCCTTCGGGTTTTCCAGCATTTTCCTGTGTGGTGGTGACTCCTCCCCTGGGTTGGTTTTCATCTCCTTGATGGAGCAGGATCCTTCCCCAGGCAAATGCAAAACCTCATCCCACCTTCTGCCACCCTGATTTCTTCCAGGGCACGCCAGCTTTGCTCATAAATCAGGGAGGGTTTTACCTGTGAGCCTGGCTTGGTTGGACTGAAGTCATTAGCACCACGCTGGGACTTGGCAGCTCTGATTTATGGAGCCCAGCGACGCCCACGGAATACGAGGGGAGCGTTTTGTTTGCCTCATCTGCCACCTGCAGCATCCCAGTGTGGGGGTGAGCTGGGAAAACGTGTCTGTCTCCTCTGCAAGGGGCGGCTTCCGGCCCTTGGATGTGCTCAAGAATTCCCCTCGTGCTGTTAAAATTGGTCGGAAATGCTTTGGATGCGTTCGTTGCCGCTCCAGGGTGGTTTGGCTCAGCCCGGGAGCTCAGAGTGGCCGGGATGTGCCCGGTCCCGCCCCTGCTCCTCCCCAGGGAGGTAGAAAAGCCGTCACACATTTGTCATGGAAATCAATAGCGGTGTCAGCGCCGCTGTGTTGGGATTAGCGCTGCTGTCATGTCCGAGCCGCGGCTCCCGCGTGGAGGCAAAGCCCTCTCCTGGCAGTGGGAAGGAAGGTAAGATTCCCCCCAGGGAGGGTTCAGCAGCGCCACGGGATGCTGGTCCTTGGAGCTGCTACTCCCCTCTCTGCTCTGCTGCAAACAAACACTTCAGGTGCTTCTGGAGAAGAGGGGGGGCTTCTCTTCCCTCCCACTGTGGAGCAGCTCACCCTGAGCCACTGCTTTTTCCCTGTGCCAGTAATGCTTCCTGTCTCCCGGTGTTCCACACAGGGCTCTACCGATCAATTTTCTGATCCTCTTCCTTTGGTTGCTGCTGGTTCCCTTTCCCCAGCACATGCTGCTGTTCAGGTTTTTGTCCATGGGAAAGCTTCCCCAGCCCAGCAGCTCCGTGTCTTGCAAACCAGGACAGTGCAGCCCATCACGTCAGGTTTCTGTGCTGCATCCACAGGCACCTCCTCACCCAGCCCTCCCATCTTCATCCCTCAAAAACCACAGTTCTCTATCCACTTTCCCCTGGTTTCATAACCCACTTGCTGCTCAGCTCAGGTATTTCATAGAATGGTTTGGTTGGAAGGGACCTTGTGGTTCCAACCCACTGCCACCTTCCACTTGTGTTTTTTTAAGCTTTCTTCCCCTCCCAGCTCCTCCTTATTCTGTCCTCACTGAAATAAATAGTTGGATGCTGCTCCAACACATTTGCCAGCATGTTTCTTCTTTCTTTTTCCTGCTCCACCCTCCTCACCACTGTCTTGTGTTTGGTAAAGACATGAAGCTGCTCCAGGAGTGTGTGGTGCTTGGGGGGGTTTCAGGCTGGGCCGGTCAGAGCTGTGGGGTTGTCCCTGCTGTGAAAGCAGCAGTTGTTTTGGGCTGCAAGGAACGAGACACCTCTTGTAGAGTAAACATGGCAGAGCCACTCCAGGGTTGAATTTCCCCCTGAGCCCTGACCCTCTCAGAGGCTGTGACCTTGTTTTGGGGACCACTGAGGCTCCTGCCAGGCTTGGGGTGCCCCAGCTCTGCAGCAGTAACATCACCTGTGCTGTGTCAGGTCCTGCAGGACCATGAGATCACCATCACCTGACCCCACGTGCCAGGCCAGGGGCAGGCACCTCTCCTGTGCTTTGGTCCTGGATTTGCCATCAGCAAGGCCGGCTCAGCGTGGGGCTTCACCCCTGTGGCTGTTTTGGGGTGATCATCATCAGGATGTCCAGGGCTGTCCTGCATCCCTGAAAGAAGGAGCAGTGCCCTGGCGCGTTTCCCACCCTGCAGTCCCAGAAATTTGCTGCTCAGTCTCGATTTTCCAGCTCCAGCATAACAATATAATCATTTTCCAATAAACAGCATCCCTAGAGCATCACCCCTGCAGGGGAGGTGACACTCAGCGCAGTGTCCTTGGCCACCAGCCCTTCCATGGTGCCTGGACCTGCTGCAGGGCCTTGTCCCCAGGGCTGGATCAGCGTTTGCTGCTCCCACATCCATCCTTGGGCCTGGGGAGGAGGAAAAAGCGAAAGCTGGACATCCCACCACTCCACGGGGTGGATTTGGGCACATGTGGCCACACAGGGGAATGTGACAGCGGAGGTATGGTCACCTGTGGTGCAGAGCAAACCTGCAGGGTCAGAGGTGTTGGCTTTGATCCCTTTTTGGGAGCTCAGAGGGAATTCTCTGCTGTGAAGTGGGTGCTTGGCTGCACCCTCTGTGCACGGAGCATTCCCCTTCCTGGAGACTGACACTCAGCAGGGAGCCTGTATTTTCTTTGGAGAGCTTCAGAAGCCCAGTAAATGTCCTCCCCAAAGAAAACCCCAAGGCTGCAATGATGTTTCTTTTGTTCCCCAGGGGCCTGAGTCCAGCAAATGACAGCGGAGCCAAAAAGAAGAAAAAGAAACCCAAACGGAAGAAAGAGAAAGGAGGAGGAGACCAGCCCGACCAGGCTCAGGACCAGCCAGTGAAGGTGAGCCCCCCCTTCCCAGAATCACAGCCCCACACACCAGCCAGCCCCATCCTGAACCTCTCCAGTGCAGCTCAGAGCAAGGAAGGAGTCCCCAGTCCTGGTTTTGGGCACTTGGCTGCTCCATAAACTCCAGCCATGGAGTGATTTCCCAGCCTGGCTCCGTGTGTGGGAATTGTTGTGCAGAAGGTGTTTGCAGAGCACTCCAGGGATAATGCAGCCCTTGGCTGGATGTCCCAGCCACTTCCAGGGTCACACTGGCGCCTCTGAGCTGCTCTTTCCAGACACCAGCTGCCTGTCACAGGCAGGAACTGCCACGCTGCCACCTGCCAGCTCCCTGTCCTGCCTGTCCTGCCTGCAGCAGCACAGGGGTGACACCTGATGGTGTTGATTTTTGGCTTGATTATCACCAGAACAGCAGCCAGGGAGAGCAGGGGCTGTCTTATCCCTCTGGGCTTTGCCTGATCCTCTCCAGCAGCTGGTGATTTGGGAAGGGGTGTAGGACATGAAGGGTTTGTCCCTGCCAGGGTGGCACCCTCCCGTCCCCTCTGGTCCTGTGGCAGGGGACATATCAACAGAGACTGTTTTCTGCCTGATGCCCAGTTCCCATCCAAATATTTGGAATATTTTGTCCATCTGACTGTGCAGAGCTTTAAACTGGGGCTTTGCGTTTTTCCAACTGAGTTCCCCAGGGATCAGGGAGGAGCTGGGGCTGAGAATTCACTGCAGAGCCACCCACCCTGAGGAAGAGGAGGAGGGGAGTGTCTCATCTCGACTGAACTTCTCTGATTTGTCCCAGGGACTCCTCTGGAAGCTGCAGTTTGTGGATACAGATCCAGCTTAGATGGAGGAGGCTGAACAATGAGAGGGAAAAGCCACTGCAGGAATCCCCAGCACTGGCTGTGGGTTGATCCAGGGGGCCCTGCAGGGTGTGAGGAAGGGAGGTTTGCTCCTGGTGCTCACAGCACCCTCTTAACTGAACCTTAAAGTATTTTCAGGCAGTTCCTCCATCCCATTTGTCCCAGGAGTGCCTAAAAAGCAGGTCTAGGTGTGTGGCAGGTGGCTGGTGGAAGGGTTCATCCATCCTGTAAAGGATTGAGGCTGGGAAGGGGGTCTTGTGCCTGCTCTCCCCTTCCTGGCAGTGCCCCCAGGCAGGGTCAGCTCCAGGATCCCCTGAGGAGGAGCCAAAATACAGACCTGGTGGCTCAGCTTACTCATTTCACCTTCCCACCCTCCTTTCTTGCCCTCAGGTGAACTCCTTACCCGCTGAAAGGATCCAGGAGATTCAAAAAGCCATCGAGCTCTTCTCTGTAGGTCAGGGCCCTGCCAAAACCATGGAGGAGGCCAGCAAGAGGAGCTACCAGTTCTGGGACACACAGCCAGTGCCCAAGCTCGGTATGTGCAGCCCCCTCACTGTCCTGTGGGCCCTGGGGAAGCCTTATTGTCCCCAGGCTGCTCCAAGAAGCCCTCAGAGAAACCTGGAAAAGCTGGTCTGTGGCCACCAAGTGAGCCCCTGGCTGGCCTGGGCTTCAGAGGCATCACAACCACTTCTGCACCATTCAGCACAGAGGGACGAGAACCACTTCTGACATCTGATTTGATGCCTCCTGCATTTGGACATCCCTTAATCCCAGTCCATGACTTGGGTCTCCCCAGCCCTCTATGCCCAGTTTTCGTGCACGGTGTTGCCACATCCTGGACTATCCAGCTCTCCCCTTTTTGGGGTTGGAGTTTCCCATCCAGAGGCCCTTGGAGGGGAAGGTAACTTGGGGTGAGTTGGGGCCAGACAGTGATGGGAGCTGCTCCAGGAGGCAGGTCCATGTGCTGAGTCCCAGCCCACAGTTTCCAGGTTTACCTGAAGCTTGTCATGGCTTTAAATTGGCTGCTCCTCAGTAACTCCCTTCGTGGGGTTGTGTCTGACCTCTCTTGCTGCAAACACCTTGTCTGATTCCCTTTCCACAGGAATTCCCTTTCCATGCTGTCAGCACCACTGTGAGGCTTATTTTGGGTCTCAGAACCTGTTTGCTGGGAGATGGTCTCAGCTTTGTGCTGGGAAAATCCCAGGGAGGTGGCAGGGGGTCATGTGAGGCAGCAAAGCCTGCTCTTGCATTTCCCATTTTTCCCGAGGACCCTGGACATCACAAACTTCATTTCTGCTTGGGAAAAGCCTGGAGGAAGGGTGGGAGGTGTCTTTTGGGGAGGGGGAGGCACAAAGCAACCCATTCCTCTCAATGCCATGTTGCTGGCCGTGTCCCAGCATTCCTCATGGTCCTTGGGAGCACATTCTGGCACATGAGGATATTTAGGGCTGGATAACAGGAGGGCTGTGGGATTTTTGGGGCCAGATTCCAGAGCAGTTCAGCACCTGCTCAAAACAGAGAGGGCAGCCAGGGGTGAGCCTTTCTGGGAGCTGCCCGGGCTGGGTGTGATGGGGGAAATTCTTGCTCTGGGCTCTCACCACCTCCCCATTGCCTGGAAACCTTTTCAATGCCTTTTTAAGGGAATTCCTGATTAGCAGGACTCGCTCCTCCTGGCAGCACTGAGGTGGTGCCGCTGTGCTGACATCCCAAATAAAGCTGGAGCTTGAGCTGACATGTCCTGGCTGAATCAGGGCTTTGGGACTCAGTGGTTTTACAAAACAAAAGTTGTGCTGTTCCCTGCAGCTCTTCCTTGGGCTCAGTGGGCGGGAAACACGGACACTTGCCAAGTGGCAGAGGCCAGAGCTGGCAGGAGAATCATCCCATGGAGCAGCTCCCGGGAAAGTGCTGGCCAAGGCTGGGAGCATGGGGATGGGGAAGGATGAGGCATCACACGTGGACCTGGAGGATGTAGCTGTGGCTGTGTTTGGTCACCTGAGCAGCATTGGTGAGGTTCTGGAAGGAGAAGATCTCAGGAGGACCATTTGCATCCTGCACATCTGTGGAAGAATAAAACAAGGCATTGCTGGGACTGAGGTGTTTGTATTCAGCCCCACCATTGCCCTGGAAGCAGTTTTGATTCCCTGCCCTGTGTTGTCCCAAGCTGGGAGGGTGAAATGACAATCCCTGGCTGCTCCAGGGGCCTGAGGTGGGAGACATGAGGAGTGTTGGTCACCAGACTGAGGCTTGGCCTCACACAGTGGAGAGTTCCATGGCTCCCTGCTCTCTCTTCCAGGAGAGGTGGTGAACACCCACGGCCCGGTGGAGCCGGACAAGGACAATATCCGTCAGGAGCCATACACCCTGCCCCAGGGCTTCACCTGGGATGCCCTGGACCTCGGGGACAGAGGTGTGGTGAGTACAGGCACACGTGTGTTGGGAGGGCATCTCGGTTGGCAGTGCCTTACTTGGACTGTTGGAGATTGTTTTGGGGACGGAAACGTGTCCCGCACCCCACCAGGAGACTCCAGCTTGGTGTTACACCGTCTCCTTGGGGTTGGATGGCTCTGACTTCCTTTGCTGCAGTTCCCTCTCACCCATCCCATGTTGGCCTGGTTTCTCCATGGGGACAATAAGGATGCCTGAAGCCAGGCATTCCCTTAAGAAAACCTTTCAGACCGTGCCCCACCTCCCTGGGAGATGACCCAAGGGCACCAGGGCGTGTCCTGCTGCTCTCCCTGCTCTGCCCCAGGACCACAGTGCCTTTAGCAGGGACGTGGCTGTTGTGGCCACACAGGAAGCATTCAGGGTCCCCTCTGGGGGCAGCTGGGGCAGGTGGTGACTGAGTGACCTCCTTAACCTGTGTGCTCTGTGCTGCTGTAGCTGAAGGAACTCTACACGCTGCTCAACGAGAACTACGTGGAGGACGACGACAACATGTTCCGGTTCGATTACTCCCCCGAGTTCCTGCTGTGGTGAGTGGCACCAGGAGTGTGGAGCAGAGGGGTTTGCATGCTGACAAGCCTCATCCCAGTGACAGCACTGCAGCTGCCTGTGCTTATCCCATCTCACTTCCTCCTGAGATGTCCCTTCCCCATCTGTCACCGCGCATGTTGTCCCAGGGACACTGCGAGGGGGGCTGTCACCCAGCCCCGCCTGCCTTCAGCTCCTTTGAGATATGGGAGCCTAAAACTGGACCTTTTTCCTCTTTGCTTTGATCCCTCAAGTGTTTGTGAACATCCCAGTAGCTGAGGAATTTCCCAGTGCCCTGGAGCTGTGGGAGGAGGGCGGCTGCCAAGTGATGCTGCCAGCAGTTACCTGTGGAGTCCTGTTGCAGCAGAGCTGTTTCCTTGGGGTGTTCCTGAATTGAGGAATGTGGATTTCCTGCTGTGTCACTAGTGAGGACTGGCCTTGGCCTTGGAGTGCAGGAATTGCCGTGGATCCCAGCACATCACTGTCACCCTCTCATCCTCCTGCCTGCGAGCAGGATGCAGGGTGTCCCAGGGCAGGGGGGGAGGCAGGAGAAGGCACACTGGGGACATGGGAGGTGACTGTGAGGTGTGTCTCTCCCCAGGGCACTGCGTCCTCCGGGCTGGCTGCCCCAGTGGCACTGTGGGGTCCGAGTTGTCTCCAGCAAGAAGCTGGTTGGATTTATCAGCGCCATTCCAGCCACAATCCACATCTATGACACGTGAGTGCTGCTCCCCTGCCTTTCTCATCCTGCCTCTTGCTGGCAGGTGGGGCTTCCTGGGAGCACTGAGGGGGTCTGGCTACGTTGTCCTCCCCAGCCCACAGCCAGACCTGCACCCTGCAGCCTTGTAGGAGAAGATGGGAGATATTTGAGGTAGTCAGGGCAGCTCTGCACAGGGACATCTCGAAAGTCAAGAGCTGTGAAGGCTTTTCCTCAATGAGTGAGGTCAGCTCAGAGTTCTGGCTTACAGAATTCATCCAGGGCTGGATGGAGACACAGAATATCCTGAGTTGGAAGGGACCTCTGAGGATCATCCAGTCCAACCCCTGGCCCTGCACAGACACCCCAACAATCCCACCTTGTCCCTGAGAGCATTGTCCAAACCCTCCCTGAGCTCTGGCAGCCTTGGGGCCATGCTCACTGCCCTGGGGAGCCTGGTCAGTGTCAACCACCCTCTGGGGGAAGAACCTTTTCCTGAGATCCAACCTAACCCTCCTCTGACACAGATTCAGACCATTTTTCCTGGGGAAACCATGGGTAACAGCTTAAGGGCGAGCTCTCCAAACCCAGCCCTTGCCCCTTGGCCCTTCCCTGAGGCGTTGCCTCCTCACTCCCTTGAAGGGGCTGGAGGTAAATCACCCAGGGCGTTGGTGTGATCCTCCCAGGTCAGGACAGTCGGGTCTCATGCTCTGCATTGTTCCTTCCCCAAGAGAGAAGAAGATGGTGGAGATAAACTTCCTGTGTGTCCACAAAAAGCTGCGCTCCAAGCGGGTGGCTCCGGTGCTGATCCGCGAGATCACGCGGCGGGTGCATCTGGAGGGGATCTTCCAGGCTGTTTACACTGCGGGAGTGGTGCTGCCAAAGCCTGTGGGGACTTGCAGGTGAGTGCCTGTGGCTCTCCAAAGATTTCTCTCCACACGTCTCCTGTTCCCAAAGTCCCCTCTGACCAGTAGCACCTGTGGGATTCCCGAGACAGGAGAGAGTGATCCCAGCCCAGATTTCTCCTCCTCGCACTGCCCTTCCAGGATTAAGTCCAGCGGCTTTGCTAAAGCTGCTCATGTAACCCAGGAGAGGAGACTTTTGCAGCACAGGCACCTCAGGGGGAGCTGCTGGCCCGATGTTCTCGCTTGCCCTCATGGCAGCTACGAGACCCTCGTGCCCCAGAACCATCTCCCACCGCCAGTGTGTTTCCGCAGGTACTGGCACCGCTCCCTGAATCCTCGGAAACTCATCGAGGTCAAATTTTCCCACCTGAGCAGGAACATGACTATGCAACGTACCACGAAGCTTTACCGGCTGCCCGAGGTGGGTTCCAGCCGGGAGCAGAGCTCAGGAATTGCCCCTGGCTGGGCCAGGCTGGGAGCTGGAGCACAAACATCCCAGCCGAGGTCGAGTCCTCTGCCTGGTCACCCGGGGTTTGCCCGTGTGGTAAATGACTCTGTCAAGCAATTGTGCTTTATTTAATCTTTATGCATTTCTGCCTGAGTACCTACATTTTGAGGGCAAATTCTTGCAGTTAGAGGACCCTGTGAGGTTTTGTTTGATGGTGAGTCATAGCCTGTCCTCCTGCTTAAAACAAGCAGGCAGATCTGACAGCCTTCATCTGTCCAAACACAGCCTCGGCGTGACCTTGGAGCGCGTTAGTCCCTCATTCTTCAGTCACACTGATCAGATCTGGCACTGCAGTTGTCCTGCTGGGGAAGTTCCCCAGCTGGATAGGAGAGAAAAAAAACAAACAAAGCGTTAAAATTGCCACCACCTTCCCCGACCTTGTTGACTCCTTTCTGTCGGCCAGAGCTGCCCGTTTGGGTTGGAAAGTGCTGTTTTAGTGCTGGGCAGCACAAGGCTCCCAGCTCCTGCCTCCTGCCACCACACAGGCACCAGCTGCTGGGGTGAAGCTGCTGGTTTCTGCACAGGAACTCAGCCCCAGAGCAGATCTGGGCTTGCTGAGCCATCCCAACCCTAGATTAGTAAGTGAGGCCAACTGGGAATAATACCAGGCAGCTTCTTGCAGAGCAAGGACATGTCTCCCAGCCTGTGCCTGCTGTGAGCGGGAGCAGAGACCTGAAAGGAAGCAGAGATTGGTGTCATTAGTGGGTAGGAGGCCACTGCCAGTGGGACCTGACCTGGCACACGGGGCTCTGGGACGTGCTGTTCTCTCTGTGATCTTTGCCATCGGTGTCACGGCCGATCACATCCATCCTTTGCTGGGCACGCAGGGCTGGGCTGGGGGGCTGAAAACGGGCTGAGCTAAGCAGAGAACATCTCTGTGCTGCTTGCTGGAGAGCCCTTGGCTGGGAAAAACCACCGTGCAAGCAACAGAAGGGTTTGTCCCACTTTCTGTAGACTCCCAAGACTCCTGGCCTGCGGCCCATGGAGCACAGGGACATCTCTGCCGTGCACAAGCTCTTGACTGAGTACCTGAAGCAGTTCCACCTGACGCCCGTGATGAGCCGAGAGGAGGTGGAGCACTGGTTCTTACCTCAGGAGAACATCATCGACACCTTTGTGGTAGAGGTGAGAGGCAGGAGCAGGGTGATGGGGGGTGTTTTCCTGGGTTTTGCCTCTGCTGGAGCTGTGAGAGCACTGAGATGTCCTTCCAGGGTGGGCGTTTGCTGGAGGGTGATGTCTCCATCCTGGGCTGCTCAGAGTCCCCTCCCACCCACTGGAAAAGCCCCTCTAAGGCTCTTTCTGGGCTTTATCCCAGCTCTGACATGTCATGGCGTCACTTCTGCCTTCCAGAGCACCCCGGGGGAGGTGACAGACTTCCTGAGCTTCTACACTCTGCCCTCCACCATCATGAACCACCCGACTCACAAGAGCCTGAAAGCTGCTTATTCCTTCTACAACGTTCACACCAAGACGCCTCTCATCGACCTCATGAGTGACGCCCTCATCCTCGCCAAGTCGGTGAGGGACAGCAGGGACGGGGTGGCACCAGGGCACTGGGAGCTCACTGGGCACTGGGAGCTCACTGGGAAGCTCACTGGGCACTGGGAGCTCACTGGGAAGCTCACTGGGCACTGGGAGCTCACTGGGAAGCTCACTGGGCACTGGGAGCTCACTGGGAAGCTCACTGGGAGCTCACTGGGCACTGGGAGCTCACTGGGCACCAGCAGCTCACCAGGAAGCTCATGGCAGGCTGGACACCCTTGGTTTTGTGGGAAGGGCCAGCCACAGGGCTGTTCCTAAAATCCTAGAGGATCTGCCACTCAGGAGAGGGATGCAGGGGTACCCTGAGCCTTCCAGCTCGTGGTGAGCAGAGCTCAGGGTGTCTGCTTGTGTCCTACAGCAAACAGTCCTGCTGTGTGTCCATAGGACTTGGATTGAGGGTAGGTGCACTGAGGCTGAGCTCTTACCTGCTGGCCTTGGGCCCTTTTTTTGGGATGCAGAGCTGGGCAGGAGAGGGGGACAGGCAGCTCACAGGTGGGAGGAGCTCTCCAGCATAAAAGCAGGAGCTCATGGCTTTGTGTCTTCCCTGAGCAGAAAGGATTCGACGTCTTCAATGCACTGGATCTCATGGAAAACAAAACCTTCCTGGAGAAGCTGAAGTTTGGGATCGGGGACGGGAACCTGCAGTATTACCTGTACAATTGGAAGTGTCCCAGCATGGCCCCAGAGAAGGTCAGTGCCGTGGGGTGGGGGGTCCTCCTCGTGTGTTGGAGGGGGTCTCGTCCCCACAGCCCCAGGGAAATGAGTTTGTTACACACCCCTCAGTGTTCCCAGGCTGGCTGGTGTCTGTCACAGGTGAATCCAGTGTCAGCTCCTCTGTGCTGTCCCTGCTGTGCCTGCACAGAGGCTGTCCCTGGGGAAAATCCCTGGACACTCATCTCTCCAGGCTCATTTTAGTCTTGAACTAGTGCAGGTGCACCTCACACACACCTGCATGGACAAGCCCTCCCCTCTTGTGGGAGGAGGGCAGGCACAGAGGGGACAGGCAGAGGGCTGCAGGGTGACCAGTGGTTGTGACAGTCACCTGGGAAGCAGTTGCTGTGCCCTGTGAGCCCTCACAAGACCCAGGAGTCACCACACAGCCCTGGGTGTCACTGTCCTAGTGGGGTGGGAGGAACAACCACCCCCTCTGGAGAGAGCAGGAGAACTTCAGAGGTGTTGGGTTGTTGTGAACAGGATCCCGTGAGGATGAGCTGTGTCACCATGAGCCATGGAGTCACAGGGTGTCACCTTGTCCCCAGGGCCAGCAGCCACTCCCCACCCAGCTGCTCCCAGTGCTGGGCCATGGGCACCCCATCTGCCAGGCCTGGCTGTTTTTAGGCAGTACCTGGTTGCCACTGTCCCTCCACTCTGAAGATGTTCAGCATCTGTCCAGTCCACAGCCCCCTTGGAGAGGATGGTGCTTGAGAGCCAGAATCTGCACAGCTACATCCCAGCTAATTAATGCCTTAACAGCTAATTAATGCCTTGATGGCAGTCATGGGGCTTTGCTTCCATGATGTGAAGCCAGGTCTGTCTCTGGACACAAAACACACACCCTAAACCAGCCTCACTTGGCCACTGAGCCTTCCAGGAAACCCCAGGAGATTCCCAGGAGGTGTCAGCAATCCCTTTTCTCACTGGAAGAGCTGGTGGGTTGGAGAGCCTGGTGCTGGGAATGCTCCCAGGATGTGCCCTGTGGTGGGGCTGACCAGAGACCAGGACCACCCACCAGCAGTGGGACTTGTCTCAGGACTGGGCTCTGGGAAGCAGCTTCTCCCAGATCATGGAATCATGGAATGGTTTGGGTTGGAAGGGACCTTAAAGCCCATCCAGTTCCATTTGCTTTCCATAGGCAGGGACACCTTCCACTATCCCAGGTTGCTCCAAACCCCATCCAACCTGGCCTTGGGACACTTCCAGGGATCCAGGGGCAGCCACAGCTTCTCTGGGCAACCTGTGCCAGGGGCTCACCACCCTCACAGCCAAGAATTTCTTCCCAATAGAATTCCTTCCCAATATCCCATCTAACCCTGCCCTCTGGCAGTGGGAAGTCATTCTCCCTTGTCATGTCCCTCCATCCCTAGTCCCAAGTCCCTCTCCAGCTCTCCTGAAGCCCCTTTAGGCCCTGGAAGGGGCTCCCAGGTGTCCCTGGAGCCTTCTCTTCTCCAGGTGAACCCCCCCAGCTCTCCCAGCCTGGCTCATGGCAGAGCTGTTCCCTCCCTCTAATCATGAGCTCAGGAACATCCCTGGCTCGTGAGTCAGGTCTGTCTCACAGCCTGGCGGGGTCTGTGGTTCGTCACACCCCAAACATTGGTCACCTCCCCAGAGCTGGGCAAGTGCCCATGTGCCCATTCAGCCACAAGCCCAGGGCTTTGCTGCTCTCAAATATCCCAAAACTGGTGAGGAAACCCACATGGACAACTGTGAGCCCTCCCAGCTGGCACAGTGAGGGGTCGGGAGCTGTGTCTGCCCAGAGCTGGGAACGCCGGTGCTCGGGCACATCCTGACTCCCCATTTCCATTGGTCCCAGGTCGGACTGGTGCTGCAGTAAGTGAGCCCTTGCCAGGAGAGCGTGGAGGAGCCGGGCCTGGTGGAGGTGCTGCCCCTCATCCTTTCTGCCAAAGCTGGACCCACACCGGGCCAGGGGGAACCGGAGCAGCCGCCCAAGGCTCCCGCCGCCACCCGCCGCCTCCTCGTCTGGTCTGGTCTGATTTGCATCCTCGTAAAGACACGATCAAGGGAATGTAACTGCTGAAACTAGATCATGATTGGCATATAATGGAGTTAACGGGTGAATAATAAAAGTATATATTATATATATTTTAAATCTTTCCTGTTCCCAACTGCCATGAGTCGCATTTGGCCGCTGCACCGGGACTGTTCTCCGTGGGCACACCGAGGTGGAGGCTGCGGCACCAGCGTGGTGGAGCACCGGGATGTGGTGGCCAGTGGCCAGGTCCTCCTGCCTGCCCTGAGGGTGCTTTGGACTCTCCCCTGCTCGGCTCTTTGCCCCCAGTTTGCTCCCTCCTCTGTTCAACTGGTTCCCTCCCTGCGGGCTCCGGAGCACGTCGGAATTCCTTCCTAAGGGCTATTTGTGCAAGTGATGCCTTGTCCCATCTCCTCCCAGACATGGAGACTCCAACCCTGCAACGGGGCGAGTGCTGAACTGAGGGGCAGCAGCCCCTGAGGATCCAGGGGGACTCAGCTCTGGCACACCCTGCTCTGCTCAGACTCCTGGGGCTCCTTCCCTGTAACGCTGGGGCTGTGGGCACCAGGAGATGCTCCATCACTGCTGCCTCAGCTGCTTTTCTCTGGAAGCATGGAAATATGGATACATGCCACCGGCATCACCCCGGGCCTTCAGGCTCCCCAGCCACCCTGGTGCCTCCACCAGCTCCCAGCTCGTCATCTTGTGCTGTGGAATATCTACCAAGATAAAGGAAAAGTTTTCTCTCATGGAAAACCTTCATCCCATCGAGATACTTTGGGAAAGGAGCGCCTGGACAGCCTCCTGCCGTGTCACGAACCGTGTCCACCCAGCTCTCCGAGATGCTCCTGCCCTCCCAGCCAAAGGTTTCCAAAGCTGCACACCAAGGCCAAGACCCCCCGTCTATGCACTCCCACACCTCCCTGTCCCCGTGTGTCCGTCACACCCTGTGGCACCACGGACCCCCAGGGTCTCTGCCCACCCCAGCCTGGACCTGCAGGGCCCCAGTGGGGACCAGGAGCCCGTCACGTCCCCCCCGGCAGCGCCATCACATCCCCCTGCTCGGGGTCCTGTGTCACCTATGCAAGTACCTTTGTGTCCCCTCTGGTGTCCCTGCTGTGCTGGGGGAGGCTGGGTGCGGGTGGGGGGCACCCAGTGGGACCCTCCCCTTGCCCCTGGGGCAGGTTTGAGGGCTGTTCCCTCCCGGCTTCCGTGGGTGCAGCACCCATGGGTGCTTGGCAGCTCCCTGCGACAGTGCTGGTTTGGGGGTGGGCTCGGCCCTTATCCCCCCACAACAGGCCCTGGGGGGTGACAGGGACAGCGGGACAGGCTCTGTTAAAATAAAACCTTTATTGACTGGCTTGACCCCGGGGTATAAATGTGTGCCAGGGCAGGGGTGGGGGTGTGTCCCCAGCCGGGCACAGTGTGGCACATGGTGGCAGGGTCCCCTGGGGGACCTCGTGGTGATGGCACTGTCCTTGCAGCTGGCATCAAGCATGGCCAGGGCTGGTGACATTTGGGGGTTGCTGTCACCCCTGTGGGGTTTTCTACGGCCTGGTCACCCCATCCTGGCTGTCACAGGGACAGGGAGGGAAGGAGTAGGGCACCAGCAGACGAGGTGGCACTATGGGCACTATGGAGGGGGTCCCCCAGCCCCTTGGGTGCTGTCACCACAGGCAGGGGAGCAGTGTCACCGGGCTGTCCCCACACAGGGAGCTGGAGGGTGCCCACCCCCCGGAGGAGCACGTTGCCCCCCACGGGGGGACACGACATTCCCCGTCCCACGGGGGGACACGACATTCCCCGTCCCACGGGGACCTCCCAGGGCCCTCCCAGGGCCCTCACAGGCTCCTGCACTGGACGTGCACGAAGAGCGTGGCCGGGGACAGGGACGCGCCGTCCTTGGAGAGCAGGTGGATGTGCCGGTACCCTGGGGACACAGAGGGGGCTCAGCGCGGGGCAGGGGGACCGTCCCCACCCCCGGGGGGCAGCGGGGGTGGCTCCCCATCGCCCACCTGTGCGCAGGCTGGGCAGGGGCAGCGTGAACTGCCCCACGAAGTCGTTGC